TCCTGATTATGATGCTTTGGATGTTGCCAACAAAATTGGGATCATCTAAACTGAGTCCAGCAGGCTAATTCTAAATGTAATAAATTTTTCTCACCATAAAAAAAAAATGACTTGACTTTTTAAAAATTTCAGGTCTTTACTAAGTTTTGCATTGAAGGGAACCTGTCATTACTGTATCAGAATGTACCAAACCTTGCAGGTTTTCCACTTTCTAAGTTTCTGAGGTTTTTTTCCCCCTTTTGTTTGTTTGTTTTGGTCAAGGTGATCATGACCATGATAGGCTCTACTACTCAAACTGCTGGGCTGGAGTTCCAGCCCAGTCTGTAAGTATATGTAATATGTATCAACACTGAATCCCAGGGATTTGAGGACATTTAGGGAGCCAGAACCAGCACTTCCAGGCAGAAAGAGTAGTGGATTGAAAACACCCTTGCTTAAACTGTGCGCATAACGAATAGTTAACATAGGCCCGAGACTGCTGTCCTTAGAAAAGTCTGCTTGTAAGGCTGAGCCTTGGCAACAGCTGGAACTTAACTGACAAATAGTTCTCTACACTGATAGGAAACTTTCTCTAATGGAGTGGTTCACAGTGCCTAGGATGTGCAAGAACATGTGACATATTCTGAATACTGCTTTTCAGTCCATAAATTTGGTAGCTGCTAGGGAAAGATACCAAGCCTTTCATGAGTTTCTCTGGAAGAAAGAGAACTTGTCACACATGTTACCAATTTGCTGCTAGACGAATTAGCACAGCCTATTCAGTTCCATAAGGAGAGGACTCTCAGAAGCGTCTGCCTGGCTTCCTCTGGATTCTACTTCATGTACTTTTTGTTGATCTTGCTTCATAATCGTCTTTTGCAGTAACAGTCTGTAACTGACAGTGTTAATGTTTTCTGAGTTCTACAAATATTTTTAGTGAGAATCTTGGGTGCTATTGGAGATTTCCTGACACATAATCTCCATGTTACATTACTTAATTTTTTCGCCCATATTTTTATTACTGACATTTCAAATTTTATGTTGAGGATTTATTAGTGTAAAGCTTAAAAATAAAAAATTTAGACAATTGTGGGGGGAAAAATATCATGGCCCAGTTAAAATTCTCAATTCTTTTGTCTTATAAAGATCTTATTACGTTTGTTTTGACTTTATAGTTATTTGATTTGTTATATAGTTATTTGTTTTCTTTTCAGAATCAGAGACTTCTTTCACCCAAAAGAAGGCAGCTAGTCCAACTATACTACGAAATGAAAATGGTATTGATGTGGAGCCATCTGAGGAGACAGTTATTCAAAAACCTCGAAAGAAGAAAAAGTAAGAATTTGTTTTTTAAATTTTCCAGTGGTGTCTAGATACTTAATGTGGAGCTCACAAATGGTCAGTTTTATAAATACTGATAGCTATAACATCCTAGGAAAAGTTACAAAACCATCCAACCAATCTAAAGTTAAATTTGAAAAGAATAAATCACTGAGTGAAAGAAAATATTTGCATAAAAACCCTTGGGAACTGACTTTAAACTTGAGAAACATAAATAGAAGATTGTACATAAATAGCCAAATCATTGTACTACTAATAAAAATAGGCTACCATAATATATTGTCTCATAGTAACAGAATTCGAATCATGATTATTTCAGTAATAAATACAAATACATATTTTAGTGTAGAAAATTAGGCTTAGAAATGATATGTAACTATTATTTGTATTTGAAAATGTTTTGGCAAGCAGTGATCAGTACCTGTTGAGTCATATAATTTTAAACTGAAAGGAATCCTAAAAATCCAATATTTTTGCTTCCTTTTCCTGATGATAAAACTGAGACTCAGAGAAATGTAGATGTTGTGCTTCAGATTACAGCATTCAATACCAGATCTCTGAGTAGTAACTCAGTTCCTTAACCCAAGGCAGGGGCCCATTCCATTATATTCATAAGCACCTGGTCATTTGTGTGGTAAAAATTCAGTTATCATTTCTTCTGTGTTCTCCCTGATGACAGGAAGAGTCAACAGTCAGAATTACAGTATGCCAATGAGCTAGGAGTAGAAGATGAAGATATAATTACTGATGAGCAGAGCAGTCCTGAACAACAGTCTGTGTTCACTGCACCCACTGGCACTAGCCAGCCTGTAGGCAAAGTATTCGTGGAAAAAAGCCGTAAGTACTTTTATATTTTAAGACATGAGCTTTTAAAAAATTACATATATTGAAATCTGTATTTTAAAAAATAAAAAATCACCAGATCAGTTAGAAAACATTTAATTCATGTTGTGCTGACCATATTTATTTCTGAATGCATAAAAATTGCAAAAATACCTCCCCCTACCACAGTGCTCCATATACATTGACATAAAATTTGTACCAGTAAGTATTAGGTATTGGAAAATAACTGGTTTTATATGGGGGGGGTGTTTGCCCTTTTTGAGACAACAATACATATAATAGAGGTACAGTGTGTTGGATTTTGTTTATGTATTCATCTTATTTCATGACTGGTTTTACTTATGATATATTTCAGCTTGATAAAGTTACATTGTTTAAAAAAATTATACAAGAAAAAAAATTATACAAGGCTATCATTTGACTGAGGAATGAAATTTATGGAAATTTGAATAATGGAATTAAGTAGAAAGATGAACAAAAAATTTATACACAAAGTATATAGTCAGTGTTACTCATGAGAGTGAAAAAACTTTTAAAAGCCTAAATGAGAAATGTCTGCTGTCACATTGAAAGTGACTCATAGCTGACCCTCTAGTGAGTTTTCAGAGGCTGTGTATCTCACATGAAGAGATTGTCCATCTTTCTCCTGAAAGCTGGTGGATTTGAACCATGTGCCTTTGTGTCAGTTCAACTCTTTACCACTAAGCTACCAGAGCTCCCTAATATTTGAAGTATTTAGGGGAAAAAAATCTATCCAAAGCATGATTATGACTAGCATCTGCTCTTGTAGATATACTATCTAAAGAATTAACTCAAAACATAAAAGTTACTCCTTAAAATTTACTGTTTAGATTCTGTATAAATTGATTTCAAATCTTGATTCCCATATAGGGCATCTTGGAGTTCTTTACTCTCAGTTCAGTGAGTTCATTCCTGTTGAGTTGGAACCAACTCAGTACTTTTCAGAGACAAGAAATAGCAAGAAAGAGATTGCCTGTCTTTCTCCTGTGAGATAGCTGGTAGATTTATATTGCCCATCTTTAGGTTGGCAGCACAGCTCCTTACCCAACTAAGTCACCAGAGCTCTCTCTTATGCCCTGAAGAGGCTAAGGGGCTTACTCTGGGTTTCACAAGTGGTTATGTTAAAGGTTTCTACACTTTATTAAGTGAGCACATTTTGCTGCTTATCCAAAAGCTGCAACTCTCAGGTAGTTCCAACCCACAGCGGCTCTAAGGGTAAAAGATGGACAGTCTCTTTGTGTTGTGATTTACAGTCTCAGAAACCCCATAGGAGGTGACTGTGAGTCAAAAATGTCTCCCTAGCAGTGAGTGTGAGTTTTTGAGATTTTATTCTAGTTTAGAAATTTGTTACTGAATTCAATAGAATTGATGTCTAAAATTATTAGCATCTGTTTGGAGCTCATAAGAAGGTCCATTGACATTGTTTTTCATAAAATCTTAAAAAATAGTGTTTTTCAAGCAATAAAATGAAGGAATCCTTTAGAAATTGGGACTGCGCTGTTGTTGTTGTTGTT